AGATTTGGAGTAAGACCAAAAATCAAGCACCTGTCCAGAGTGTCAGACCTGAGGGTAAAGACCTCATTATCTCAATGAAATAGGACTCTTCTCCTAGAGACAGTTCTGCTAACTAATTCCTGAAGAAATTATAGGCAATGCCTTAAAAAAAAAAAAAGTGTTTCTTTTTATTAAAAAAGAGAAGCAAAGATAAGCACTGCTTCCTCTCTCTTTGGTCTCACCTCTCTATCTTACTTTTTGCCTTTGCTCCTGTTTGCCAGGTTTCTAGCCAACACCACTTTCAGAGGCCTCAGTGGTTCTATCAAAGTAAAAGGTTCCACTATCATCAGCTCAGAAAACAACTTTTTCATCTGGAATCTGCAACATGACCCCATGGGAAAGCCAATGTGGACCCGCTTGGGCAGCTGGCAGGGAGGAAAGATTGTCATGGACTATGGAATATGGCCAGAGCAGGCCCAGAGGCACAAAACCCACTTCCAACACCCGAGTAAACTACACCTGAGAGTGGTAACCCTGATCGAGCATCCATTTGTCTTCACAAGGGAGGTAGATGATGAAGGCTTGTGCCCTGCTGGCCAACTCTGCCTAGACCCCATGACTAATGACTTTACCATGTTGGACAGTCTTTTTAGCAGCCTCCATAGCAATAATGATACAGTGCCCATCAAATTCAAGAAGTGCTGCTATGGATATTGCATTGATCTTCTGGAAAAGCTAGCAGAAGACATGAGCTTTGACTTTGACCTCTATATTGTTGGAGATGGAAAGTATGGAGCCTGGAAAAATGGGCATTGGACTGGGCTGGTGGGTGATCTCCTGAGTGGGGCTGCCCACTTGGCAGTCACTTCCTTCAGCATCAATACTGCAAGAAGCCAGGTGATAGATTTCACCAGTCCTTTCTTTTCCACCAGCTTGGGCATCTTAGTGAGGACCCGAGACACAGCAGCTCCCATTGGAGCCTTTATGTGGCCACTCCACTGGACAATGTGGCTGGGAATTTTTGTGGCTCTGCACATCACTGCCATTTTCCTCACTCTTTATGAATGGAAGAGCCCCTTCGGTATGACTCCCAAGGGGCGGAATAGAAGTAAAGTCTTCTCCTTTTCTTCAGCCTTGAATGTCTGTTATGCCCTCTTGTTTGGTAGAACAGTAGCCATCAAACCCCCAAAATGCTGGACTGGAAGGTTTCTAATGAACCTCTGGGCGATTTTCTGTATGTTTTGCCTTTCTACATACACAGCAAACTTGGCTGCTGTCATGGTAGGTGAGAAGATCTATGAAGAGCTTTCTGGAATACACGATCCTAAGGTAATACTTCCTTTTACTCTAGCTTTCTTTATTGCCCAGTATAACTCCATTTGTTGTGTCTTATACTGTAGTATGTCTATGTTCTTTCATCTAGCAAAAGAATATTCTCTCAGCCAACTATAGAAACCAATCCAAAAGTCTTTGGTTGAACTTAATGTTTCAAAAAAAGTGAGGAGTTTCAGTGATATTTGTTCTAGAAAAAGTCGTTCTGGTAGATATATCTACTAGTGCAGCTTTTCCTTGTATTATTTGGACATCTGATAGAATGGTTATCAGGGAATAGTCTTACAAAGTCTTAAAAACTGATTAATTACTTCTCTTGGGAATTAATGGAAGTAAATAGGAGGATTTATATTTTAAACTGTAAGGAATCTTTTTTCACCATTTAAAAAAGGGTGAAATGGAAAGAATTCATATTTTATCATAAGTACCCGATGTCAACTGCTAGAGAGCTCAACAGATATAGAACAAGGAATACTGAACTAACCGAGGTGGCAGGATTAGCTAAGGACTTACAGAGTAAGGAAAGCTGTACAGATGGCCACCTTGGATTGAGGCGAGGGTGCCAAGAGTCGAAGGACATTTAACATAATTTTATCTACATAGTCTGCCTTTGATATCCTAGACATCTGACCCTAAGGGTGGAAGGGAAAGGGAGTGCAGTGTGTGGGTAATCAGGTAAAGCAGTGGTGATACTCAGGTAAGGACAGCAATATCTGTGTTCCCTCTGGACTAAATCAGGGTTCTTCTCAGTGACTGGAGGTTTAAAGAACCTAGTTCACCCAGTTAGAGAAGGGGGATGTCAAGGTCCAACGCAATTGGAATGGCGCTCAAGGGAGTTGAAGGGAGTACTGCAGCCCTGATTGGGAAAAGAATGCAGATCCTAAGCAGAAGTACATTCTGAGGTGCAGGACAGACTTAGTAGAGATTGGAGAAAGCTTCAATTCAGTGAGCACACTCAGGACACACCATGTTTAAAACACCTTGAACTATGCTGAGACTTTCAAATTGTGAAACACCCATCATGCCTTTTCAAATGCCCTTTGTCACACCAAGTCTCAAGGTATTGCACAATTTACTGTAAATTTCTATTAAGTATTTAAAATTAATTCATAGAGCATCAACAAACAGGATGTTTGCAACTGTCTTTAGCAAATGATGGAGTGCCCCAGAGGGCTGGTGGAAACTTTAGAGAATTCTCATAAATGGTTTCCATTAGCATGTAAGTTCTGTTTTGCAACCAAAAGAACATGAGAAAATATTGCAGACCTCCTGATAAGTGACGGGTATCTCATGAGGGGATTCAGTTAACAATGCCTCACTGACTAGGCAAGGCATTTTGTTGCTTCTTAATGAATACTTGGGGCTTTATGTTATAAGCTAGAATTCAGTGAACACCAATAAATTCTTTAGCATAAATAAATGTATCACCCTTAAGAGAGATGTTAGTGATGCTTCAGCATTCACATTCCATGCCAGTATTAGCAGCCTCTGTTTATTCTTTGCCCCAGTAGTCCTGTAGATCTCCTGAAGGTTCACAGTCTTGCTAGACACTTACTCAGATTTTTTGCAAAACTCTTGCTAATGTGACTACTAAATTAGAGACTCAAAATGGAAAGAATTCAGCCTAATCTAGTACAAAAACCGGTCTAATATCTGCCTGTTGTGCAGATTCCAGGCCATTATCTCATGTAAAAAAGCTGGGGGCTGACCCCGTGGCGCACTCGGGAGAGTGCAGCACTGGGAGCGCAGCGGTGCTCCCGCCGCGGGTTCAGATCCTATATAGGGATGGCCAGTGTGCTCACTGGCTGAGCGCGGTGCAGGTGACA